AACTAGCTTTTATACTATGAAGCAGAGTTACTACTTACCAAGAGTTACTACTTACCAATCCTAAATATAAAATTTAACTAATTTATAGATATTAAAAAGTTAATTAAATTAATCATTTAAAAATTATATATTAATTTTTTAAAATATTTTTTTAATTATTTGTATTGAAATTACCTATGCGATGAAAATTTTTTAAACTTACATAATTAACAGGATAGTTTGGAAAAAATTATATTTAGATATGAAAAGAGAGAGAAATATAGGACAAATTTACTACTTTACGTTAATTGAAATATTGAATAGAAGTAATTGAGAGGAAAAAAAGAAAAAGAAAAAGAAAAGAAAAAAGGAGTGAGTGGGGCTCGGGGAACGTGATGACGCACTCGAGCTTGGGACATCCCTAACCCCATATAAATAGCCACTGCTTCTTGATTCGTTCTCAATTGTTTTCCACATCCTCCCGACAGACCACGCAGATCACAAACACACCATTTTCTTCCACTTTCTCTTTTGAATCCCTCATCCCCTCTCTCTCCCCGAAATGGCCGATCAGCTCACCGACGACCAGATCTCCGAGTTCAAGGAAGCCTTCAGCCTATTCGACAAGGATGGCGATGGTCTCATTTCTCAGATCCTTTCTTTATTTCATGTTTTTCTGTCTTTGCTTTCATTTTCTCGGGTGTTTTCTTTATTTTACTGCATAATTTTGCTTTGTGTTCTCCTTAGATCTGGTTGCGATTGACCTGCCGTTATGTATGTCGAATTTGCTCCCTGGCCTTTTGAAATTGACATAATCTGCGGGATCTAGGGTTCCTTCTTGTTTGACTTTTCGCTTTTGATTTGAGTTTGTCTATTTGTGGTGTGTGATTGTTGATGTGATGAATGTCTGTATTCTCTGATTCTATGCCTACGAAATTCTTTCACTCTCGCATTTCTTTTTAATCTCCGCGAGAGATTTGATTTAGCCTTGTGATGCGATCAGACGGCTTTTGCTGATGATCAAGTTGTTGCTCCTGATTTACGACAGTCCAATACGGAAAGGGCCTTCTAAGTTTAATGCATTGGATCAGCATTTTGTTTTCTTTTTCTATGGCATGTGCTGGTATTTCTGAGATGAAATAGCCCTGTCAATGACATTTGGATTGGACTTTTATGATTAGTCGATCTATGACTGTTAGTGTCATCCTGTTTATGAGAATTGTCATACTTCTGATCCGAAGGAGGATCTTTCTAATTGAATTCTGGCCAGCGTTACTGAATCTGCTAGGTAACAATTTGGCGAGAGCTTTTTCCTCTGGGGTTGGTGCTTGAGTTCAAGAATTATGTCCATTCATTTGAAAATGGTCGTCAAATGTAGTGTTTTCCAAGGAATTAGCTGTCGTATGGAGACTGACTAATTTGTTAGCTCTAGTGCTTAGTTAGCCGGTACTTGATTTAACAGCAGAAATGAGACAATTGGTTGTTTAGTGCGCACCTGCGTTGAAATGCCCCAATGGGCAATGACTTCCTTATATAGTCATTTACTGTTGGTCGTGAAAATGATGTCCATATCATTGACCAATGGTCATTAATCTCTATTATGTGGTTGCTTATAGCTTATAGGTAGACCTTCTCAACGAAGCTTCCTCTGAATAAGATTCCAATGAAAATATAACATGTGATAGTAATTCTGAAATTTATTAAATCAAATTTATTAATTTATTAATATTCTGCAGGCTGTATCACTACCAAGGAACTTGGGACTGTGATGAGATCACTTGGGCAGAACCCAACTGAGGCTGAGCTTCAGGACATGATAAATGAGGTTGATGCTGATGGAAACGGTACCATTGATTTCCCAGAGTTCCTCAACCTTATGGCTCGGAAGATGAAAGATACTGATTCAGAGGAGGAGCTGAAGGAAGCTTTCCGTGTATTTGACAAGGACCAGAATGGGTTCATTTCTGCAGCCGAGCTCCGCCATGTTATGACAAATCTTGGCGAGAAGCTGACAGATGAAGAAGTTGATGAGATGATCCGCGAGGCTGATGTTGATGGTGATGGTCAGATCAACTACGAGGAGTTTGTCAAGGTCATGATGGCCAAGTGAGGGACCAATAAGCCAAAATTTGAAAAGAATTCTATTTATATTAGGATATCTTTATTTGGGGTGTCATTAGCGTATTTTTGGTCGGTTGGTTGGCTGTCTTTTCCTGTTTGCTGACATTAGTATCCTTATCCTACTTGTTTGCTCTGCACCTTCCCCCTTTGTTCTGTTCAGTAGGTTGGCTTAGCTTTGTTCCACCATGTATTGCTTTCTACTCTTTTTTGGTCATTATGAACCTTAAAAATTGGATGCAATTTGTGTTGTTGCTTCTGGGTGACTAGTCTTGTTAATATTTACTTATGTTGTCATATCATAGTTTCTTCTGGTCACTTGGTCTTGAACTAGAAGGATCAGGTTGTATCGTGAATAAACTAATAAACTAATAGATAGATGTTGATGTGGGAGGGAAACCGACCTGGTGTTTATTTCTTTTTCTGCATTCCCCCGTCTTTTGCATCTCTTACTACTTTCTCTAGTCCATAATATAAAACTTCTTTGACCCAACGACACAATTTAAGAGCAATTAAAAAAAATGGTATTCCAGATAAATTGACGCTTAATTGCATGAAGGGTATTTTGAAAAGGTACAACATGCGAAGTGCAATTGGAGGATGTGGATCCAATCATAGTGCTGTTCAGTAATATAATTGGATTGGGCAAAAACCTAAATCGGGTGGTCCCTGAAAATGCATTGTGCACTTCAGGCCTTGGGCTTTATTCTAGAAGTATCGGCAATGTCGCCCTGGATGAGGCATTGTTTGGGAAAAAGAAAAAAACTGTAACCCTATGCATTAATGGGCAAAAGCCACAAATCACGATCACCTATGCAGTTTTGGTCTCATCTGCAGTAGTCATATGATTTATAAATTCTCAACTATATAAATCATCTCAAATTCTATATAATTCATGAGCTTATTTAGTCTGATAATATCTCCCTGATGCTTTGTATGAGTTTCAAATAACGAAGTGTGTATATTAAGAAATTAGTTAAATCGGTTAAAAATAATAAATATATTAGAAATGTATTTCTTTCTCTAAATATACTCTTATTTAAAGAGAATGTATGAGAAAAATGAGAGAAGAAGTGGGAACAAGTGATGTTTAAACATTTTTCCCCCCCTAAATATACTACTATCTATACTCCCTTTGGTCTTTTTTATAAGCTACGATATTTTCAATGGGTCTTGTTCTTTTTATGGACTACACTTTAGAGATGTTTAAATATTTAATGTATTTTTTTTCATTTTACATATAAAAGAAGTCCATTTCATTAATTAATCATATTAAGAAATAAAATTAAAACCTCTCATAAAGGATCCTCAAAACTATGTTGCATAGATAATCATGTAGCTTTCATATTACAATCTTTTTAAATTGAGATTATGTCATCATCTCTTCTACATGAATTTGTAGAAATGGAACCAAGATTTAAGTATGGCTGCTAGAATCGAAAAGTATATATAGTACCAAATTCTTAAAAATCTTGGGGCGCTTTAAATATATAAGGCCTGCAATTTGTTTTTATTCTTTAAGATGTAGAAGTTGAAGATGATTTCCAGCCCAAAATACCAACGAAGCATCCTTTTAATTTTATTCGTGGAACGTTCTAGTATTTGATTTTTGTTGTTACTCCCTCATCCTATAAATGTATGAACTAGCTGAAAAGTGTATTTTCATTTAAAATGTAACACTTTAATTTACTTTGTTTTTTAAATTTATGATTTTTTTTCAAATTATTCTTATTGATTAGATCAATGGGGGTAATGATTACAAGGATATTTTAGATAACCTAATACATATTTATTATAAATAATTAACTTAATTATTTTTTTAATATATATAAATTAGTTATCTAGTCTTTATATTTAGAATTGAAGTATTTTAGTTTTTAGAATGTTATAAATATTCCATTTACGTATAGACATTTTAGCAGGAGTATAATCTTTTTTTGATTGACTTGCGCTACATAATCAACAACTTTTGCCCTTGAATCAACAAAGATAACGCGCATCCAAACGATTGCTCACCATCAACTATATTCACAAGTCCTTTGATTCGTATTCCTACTGATCTTACTTATTCATCTATTATAACCTAGCATGAAATTTTATCATTGCTTCATATTTTTTCCCATACTTTAATCAAAGTTGCGTTCTTATCTTCTTTTCTTAGGATGTTTAGCAATTCTTTCTGCATTTTAACTTATTGTATTGTTTAAAACTCTTTTTTCTTAATATCATTGTGTCTTATCCAGGAAAAAATAAACTAAGATAAGACTTAAGAATAAGAGATGAGATGACTATCTATAGAAACTTTGATTTTTGCTTTTTTAAATGTTTTGTTTCCATTTTTTACTTCCTTTCTTATGGTTTCAGGATGAAACTTAATCCCCCCTCCCCCAATCCACCTCCTTTTCCTTTTATAATAATTGCCAACCCATTTGCTTTGTCTATTAACATGCCCTGTATTTTTTTTTTATATGACTTGTATTTATGTGGTTAACAAAATGAGGAGAAAAAGTGAGAAACATTCTAATGATCACAAATACAAGTGGATTCAGCATTATACCTTGAAAGAATTGATGAAACTAAGTTGTGAGCCCATACACCGCGTGGGTTCTGAAAACGTGACATTATATTACATATATTGATTTTTAAACTATAAAAAAAATATTTTTAGTCATTCATTCATCAAATTTTTCCGAATTTTAAAAGGGTCAAAACTGAGTTGAAAATTGTTAAACTAAAGATAATGTCATTGGAGACTTGCAAGATTTTCAAACTTACAGCAAATAGCAAAAACCTCAACTTTGAAAATTGGCAATATGTCAATCACCATGAAGGAGCATAGCCATTGACACACGAAAATTAGGATTATTATATTTATACATGAATTATTCTGATAAGTTGAGAAATAGAAAAACATGATTATATATAAAATCCACATTTCAATCACTAAATTCATCTATTGTTTCCTGTCTACCCAAAATGCATCATGTATATTCTCTTGTATGAATGTAGGATATCACAAAACCTTAAAGCTTAAAGCTGATGTATGCTTTTATCTTTACAGGCTGAAGCTACCCAAAAAAGAAAGGAAAAGAAAGAAAGAAGAGAATGAAACATAAAAGAAAGGGATGTTACATCCGTTGTATATTTACTTTTGCACACTTTGTGGTTTGTAAAGGACCACTGTCACATACTTGGACTGGAACCTGTGGGTCAATCCAAGGGCAACAACAGACTGGGAGGCCGAGTATTTATGAGTGAAGACATGGTTTAGGACCACATGTTGAGGCTTGGAGTTCGAAGGGCTACCTACAATTGAGTTCTCTTTATTTAGGACAGTCAGGTGTAGCTGTGAAGGAACCGCCATTGGCTCTTTTGCAAAGTCTTCATCGGTTAGGGATGATTGACCATAGCTGGAGTCTGGAGATGGTGGAGCCTCAAATTCACTCACGCATTTGGGGTTTTCAGGCACGTAATCCTGCATGAAACAAAAGAAAGAACAATTCATGTCTAGATATACAAAAACAGAATATTCAGGACAGGGTGATAAGAACACACTTATCATAATCCGGAGAAGTCATGATGGGTGTGATGGGATAAATATTACATTAATTATTGGTTTAATATGTATAGAAATCATATAGAAGGATGGACTTTATTTGCAAAACAGAAAGTTCAAAAAAATAATTCAATGTTATTTCATAAAGGGAAGAAAACGGAAGGCAAAAAATGATGCTTACATTAACATTGAGAAGATTGTAGATGTGGCCCATCTCATTAGCTACATGAGGAAGCTCTGGAAGATATCTAGGTTGGCCATCAACAATGAATTTGTAGTGATATATGCCCAATGGCAGGACCATTAGAACTGAGAAATCCTTGCCAGACCTCTGCAGTATCTTCCTGCGAGTAATACAAATGCACTTATGCTATAAAGTTCATTACTGAACATTTGCAACTATAATTACTTCCACGTTACAAACAATGAAGTTGGCATTACCAAAGTGAAAGTGAAAGATTCTAACCTATGCGCCCAATTATCCCAAGATCCCTCGACACAAACATGGCTACCACCATAATGCCATGTTATTATGACAGGAATTTGTCGCTCTTGAGGTTGATCAACAATTCCATGGGGGGTTTCATTCTTCCGTAAATGACTGAGAATAGGAGAGACGTTACCTCTAGGTGAAGGGGCAACAGCAACCTACAAAGAAAGACACTGATGATAAGTTGATAACAACGCATTTTTTCCAATATAAAAATTTAGAAAATAACATGTTTTTGGTGTTTCTTGATGGGCTAAGACATGAAAAGCCCAAAAGATGTAGCGACATATATAGATGTTGATATACACATATCACACACATAAACTGCTAGCAGGCACATTAGCCATTTCCATGAAGGAAAATGTAAAGTCAACTAGAACAGCAGCACATAAACATATCTGCATACTACGATATATAACCTACGATCATAAGTTGAATCTTTAAAAAACTTCCATTTAAGTCGTATCATCTTATCCCCTAAGCTCAGCAAAGTTAATTCCAAAATCCATTTCAACCTTGTCATTCAATGCACAAGAGTTTTTCCAAAGCACATAACATTAAAGTAACAAGAACAGTAAGGCCAATAATTGAAAACGCTTAGTTATAACGACATTCGTAAAGTCTTCTCTATGCAATCATATCACCTTCAAGTCAACATAGTTTCACGTATGCAAACTTTCATTAGACAATAGCGGGCCTTTTCAATTAAAAAAAAAAAGAAAAAGAACTTGAACAGAGAGAATCAGATTTAGGACTTTCAAATCATCTTCCCATTGCAATATAAATAATAGAATAGAGGAACGTCTCAAAATCAGCATCTTTGAGCCTATTATGCGAGCAAAAGTATTTGTAGAGCTATGCTTGCACAAAAGGTAAGACCACAAGCAACCAATATAATCAGGAAAATAAAAACAGACAAGAGACAGAAAAGTTGAGACAACTGCCAGAAATATCATATCCTTTTTGATATTAGGGCCTCTAAAACCAAATGGAGGCTACGAAAAAAGTAAACCAAGCTGAAATCCCTTCACCCATAACACACAGGCAGAGTGAGTGTGCAGGAAAAACAAATACGATGCTGGAGTAGAATTTAACCAATTCAAGCAAAATCAAAAATGAAATCATTCTTAAATAAGAAAGATATTTAATATTTCAAGGACATTAATTCTTACAAAATTTAATACCTATACAAAGTAATGTAATCGATTTTTCACAGATAATCATATTAATAAAGGATACGAGTATTCAATGATAAAGAAGCCATGCCTTCATGGCCAACCTTAGCAATGAACTTAAAAAAGGCTGACAGAATCCAATTCCTAATAATTCCCAGAATTGAGAGTTTTCATCTTTATTTCTGTTTTCTGATGCAGCCGTACAAGCATCCAATAATTTAATTGTATTGTTTTTATAACTGAGGAAACGAACTGGCCAATATTTCAAGTAATTCAAGGGAATATGACAAACAGCTGGAGTTGCAAAGAACTGCATCCCACATTTGTGCAACAATAAGAAAGGCTACTGATACAATCCGTTAGAAAATAACCACTCATCTGCTGTTGTGGCTGCATGTCAGTTTGACAGAAAAAGTTAAGCACAGTTTCTGAGAGAAGATATGTATAAATAACACTAATTGCAATACATTTAGGAACTACTATTCCCAGATTGAATTCTAAATCAATCATGCTTTGTTACTGCATAAATTACCTTGCAACGATGCCATCTAATGCAGGGCAATACTATTGTCTTTCAAATCCTCACTCAGACATTGAAATTTATCCCTTGTCTTAAATGCATGGTTCATTTTGAAAGGCACTCATAAAAATGAGAAATAGAGAACTGTTTTAATTATTATTAGTATTGTGGATGCAAATACATGTGAGTTGCCATCCCATGCAAGGAGCAAGACAACACATTCATTAGTAAAAGCGGGTTACTAAATTAGCAATTGGCTTTTACTTTCCAGTTTTCAGCATTCACGGTATCATAAGCAGGGAATGACGCGAGTTCTACTCGCTGGTATCAACAAGAGCAAACAGCTATGCTGCAAAGCAATACCCATCAGGCCATCACATTGGATTTTACCATAGTAATTAAGGCACAAAATTTATTATGAAAACAATAGTTTTGAAAAGTAAATTTTTTGTTTCCGGCTATACCCTGAGAAGCTAAAATAAATAATGAAACAATGAATGACTTGTAAGAGAAACTGAAAATTTTTCATAATTTGGGCCTAAAAAATGTAATTGGAATCAGCAGATGCGTCATATAATGAGGGGAAGGAAATATGCTGACTTCAATTAATCATCCATGCTAAAATTTGTTTTTAAAAATGACTCCCACCTTGGAAAATGGAAAGTTTGAATGTTAATGAGTTCCTTTTAATTCGCTAGAAAATGATTTTTCTGCTCCCAACAGCCCCAAAACCTGAAAATTTGCACAATTGTTCGGAAGATTATGCTCTACACAGAGAGATTAGGGAGGGGAAATGCACATTGTTTAAAAGACTATACTCTTCTTAGCATAGAGATTATACAGGATAAAGACCTGGCAAACACTTGTAAAATTTATATGTAGTTATTCATTCACTTTTAAAGATGAGGAGAAAACTAAAAGATGACGAGTTTGAACTGCTTTTATATATATATATATGTATGTATATATAATCACATTATATATTAGGAAATTGAAATAAGAAATCACTGACACCATAAGAAAATAAGCAAAAATCATATAGTGAATAGACAGTAAATCTGCTTATAAATAAGAATCCTACAAGAGTGGTTGGGGAAAGAGAGAAAGGTTAACTGGGGAACAAAAGTTCCTTGTCGAGTTCTCCTCATTGCAATGGATACTTGTAAAATAAACCATGTTAGGCAGTATTTTGTAGGCAGCATTTGTCATCTAGATTGGTAATATAGAGCGAAGAACATATACATAATTCCAGAAGTTCTTAACACTCAGAACCGAACCAAGGTTGCGGAACTATGACGACAGATGACAAAAATTCTGCAAATGGCCAGCAGTCTAAAGTGACAAGTTCCCAAGATTTACAGTGTTTCTGCTCTTATACTCTTTCAGAATTTTGATAACTCCATCCCATACATCCAATCAAAATTTCAAAACTGAGCCGCACTATTTTCAATCATCATCATGCTTATTATATAGAAAAGTCACGTTCGTCAGAATTATAGGGTATAAGCAACAGAACTCCCAGCACTGTTAGATTTTTGTGCATGTGTTTTTCCAAAAGATCTTGATACAAAGTTTGAAGATTTGACTTCCAAACAAATGTCCCTTTACACTGGTTATTAATCTCCCTCTAAGGCCTCCACCCCCAGGCGGGCGCGCACACACACCAAACTTAATATAATTGAACGGAGTTACTGAACCAAACAGAGCATCTACGACCTACGAACCATATAATAAGGTAAAAGAAGCTCCTCCAAACATAACTTAACCAAATCCTTTCCTGCACCTTCACAAGAATTGAGAATCACTGGGAAGGAGGCACACAATATCAGTTACACCGGTGAAAGGCCACAGAAATAGTGGATTAACAAAAACCAAACTCCATAGCCAACCAATTATCCATAAAAATGTACTAGCACACGCATTTAAAGTAAAAACATGCATTACTCGCATGCAAATAAAAACGACACCTCAGAAATTGAAAGTAACCCGGAAGAGCACTGAACTAAAAGGATGGAACCTGAGGAACGGAAAAGATCGGCGACCTCGACTGCGGAGCACCCACAGCAGGTCGAACCGGAGGCGGAGAATCCAACAGGAAATTCCCACGGAGGCCAGGATCAGCAGCGGAATATCGATGAACATCCTTGTCAGCATGTCCAACTTCTCTTCCGTTAGCGTTTCCCATGGAAATTCTACAGAAAGCTCCCTCTTCAGGTTCAAAGCAAGGCGACAACGACACAGCACAGAACTTTGAGGTTGGAGTTGGAGGAAGTTGAGTCCGTTTGTGGGAATGTAGAAGCAGAAGTGGCGGAAGAAGTAGAAGACGACGATGGCTGTAATAAACGACAGTCAAGGAGTTTCAAAAGAAGGATGAAACGCGTGCTGAAGTGGAGGGAACCGCTCTCTTCAGGTCTGCCATGGATGGAGAGCAGAGAGGAGAGAGACAGATACTGCTCTGCTCAAGAAAGGAAACTGAGCTTCAGAAATTTTGGCTCCCTCTTTTTATTTTTATTTCTATTTTGGATCAATGTATTTTGTGAGTCCCAAAATTTCGGTTCATTTTAATTTTGGCTCTTTAAGTTTTAAATTTATAGTTTTAGTTCATAAAATTTATTTTATTTTAAAATATTAGTTCTTAAAGATGTGGCATTATTAAAATTTGTTTTAAAATAGTAATATGGATTCACGAGATGATATCTGATTAAATCTTGTGTTAATAACGGATTATATAACTAAATAATTATGTTAAAGAACTTGTTCTTTGTTTTTTTTTTTTTTTTCATGTTATCGACACAAAATCTAATAAGATGTTATCTAGTGAGTATATATTACTACCTCCGGTTCTAATTATAAGAGCCAGTTGACTAATTTGAAAAGATTAAGGAAGTAAGTAAGTTGAGTTAGTTATTTGTTCTAAATAGGTGTTGCCTTTTCTAAAATATCCTTGCTAATCAAGTGTATTGACTAGAACTATTATTGTTAGAATGACTATTTTGAAAAAAAATGTATAAATATAAGAGACAAAATGGATTGGGGTCTTATATTTAGAACTAAAATAAAAGTCAAACAGAGTCTTATATTAAGGATCAGAGGTAGTATTACTTTAATATTGATAATAACACTTCAATATATTTTAACATTGTTATATTTATAAGGACTAATATTTTAATATGGACTAAATTTAAGAGATAAAAACATATTTAAAATTTGAGGTATCCAAACATAAATATATTCAAGTTTCAGATGCAAAAGTTGTACTAGCCCTTTGTTTTCAATTTATATTTATTTTGGCCGACTCGTAATGCTAATGCTACGATCCTACACTATCACGGTACTACCACCGGCGTTTGCATTTCACTTGCCGGCTGCGAGTGGGACTAATTTGTTCAGTTCAACATATTTTTCGGTTTAAGCCATTGAGAATCTTTGGCCCACAGAAAAACTTGTTGAAAAATTAATAAATGGCACATCAAGCAATGAAATGGCTTTTCTTGCATTTTACTCAACCCAATAATTTGTTTTTACTTTGAATATTTATGTTTCTAGAACAACACAAGACAAGACATTTTTATATCTTAGGTACCAATGTCAATAATTAATTATTAATAAATCAGCGATAATCATTACTGGATAAATAATACTTCTTTGATCCTTAATATAAGACTCATTTAACTAATTTGATTAGATTAAAAAAGTTAGGTAAGTTAGTTAATTATAAAAATATAATATATTTTTTCTAAAACACTATAACTATCTTTCTTAATACCTCCTCTCCCTTTTTTACTTGATTATGGTGAGGGAGTATCTATAAGGGTAATGTAGAAAATTAATAAATATGATAAATGAGTTTTATATTTAGGACCAAAACCAATTTAACTATTGGGTCCTATATTAAGGACAGGAGGAAGTACTATCTTGGTCTTTAATATAAGAATTAATTGACTAATTTGAGTATATTAAAAAATTAATTAAGTTAGTTAGTTGTAGTAAATATGTATTATTTTTTTTCTAAAATATCCTACTAATTAAGTATATTAGCTATAATTACTATATTATAAGGGCTATCTTAGAAATATAGATAAATATTAGAGAAAAAGTGAATTGAAATTTTGTATTTTTTTTTGTTGTTGCCCAGAATATCCTCCCACTGAACGGTGAAACACTAATCTCTTAAAATACAGTCAGGCGTTGTAGCGGGATCCAACATGATGTTAAGATGTAAATCCTTTCCACTTGGACCAACATTATTGTTGTTGAAATCTTATATTTAGAACCAAAATAAAAATCAAACAAGTTTTTATATTAAGAACAAGGTAATAGTTACTAAAATCCTAAATATAAAACTTAATTAGGGTTGTTTTGGTTCTTTTTTTCTGTGATAGACTGATTTGGTTTCAAAGTTCATCTCTTGCGTTCGACTCTTAAGTTTATAATTTTTTTCTCAAATTATCTATATTAAATTATTGATTGCACATGTTAAAAACTTGTCTTTATCAAAAGACATTTTTAATTCAAATAATTAAAAAGAATATCTTATAAATATCTAACTTAATTAATTTTTTAATAAAAAAATTACAGATACATATTTTTTCTTAATTTTTAATTTCGCATGTATACTTTCTCTTTATTAAGTTTTTAATTTTACTTCATTAACGCTATTAGTCTTGTAACTTTACCTTGTCAGCATTAGTAGATAGTAGTATTATATAAAAGCTAATGGTACTAGTATAGTAAAGTTAAAAGATTAAATTAAAAATTAGATGAACGTATAAATACTTAAAAAATACAGAAGAAGACTGACGAGGAAAAAAGAACTAAAACTAATAAATATAAAAAAAGAAGTAAATTGTAATTTTATATTTAATATTAAATTGAATATCTAACTAATTTGAAAAAAAAAAAAAAGAACAGCTTTTTCAAATTTGATACCCTCTATGGTCTACGTTATTCTATCTTTGAGAAAAAACCAAAAGATTGTTGTTCCCAACTAGGAAAATGATGTTTATTATTGCATAGAATCGATGCTATTTTAATGGCAGAAATTTAAAATCCCTCATTTGTGAGTCTTGTCTTGAAGAAGTGATCTGAAAATTAAAGCTTATGAAATAAAAAGTTAAGGTAGATTTACCCCCTTAAAACTTTTTTTTTAAAGTATATACAACATTCAAAAATATCTTCAGATGTATCCAACACCTTGACATATTTTTTTTATGTGTGTATAATACCATGAAGTATTTTTTTTTATTGTATTCAGCACTTCAAAGTATTTTTTCTATGTACATCTAACATCAAAAAAAATATTTTTTTAGTACATTCGGCACAAAGCAAAAAAAAAATACTTTAAAGTGTTCAACACATCTTAAAAATATTTTAAAGTACTGGATATATTATAGAATACTTTTAAGTAATAATATATCAAAAAAATATTTTGAGATGCTGGGTGTACCACTCTAAAAAAATAAATAAATAAAGGTTGCTGTGAGCCGGAGGCGCGTGACGCTAGTGGGGGAAGCTGAGTGTGAACTTACGTGGCCAAAGGATCCCCCGTGTGGGACCCGCGGAGAGCCGCAATGAGGAGTTTGTGTGCGTGGTGGGGCGTGACAATCACGTGATGTCCAAAGGAGTTGATGTGGATAAGATTCTCATGTGCCTTTTGTTTTACATTTCCTAATTAATTTTGAGGGACAATTGAATCACTTTAAATGTCTCACCCAAATAGGAAACGGTTCCTCATTAGTCATTGCATTAATTAATTAAATTATTAATTAGACTAAAATACACATCTAGTCTTTTATTTTTAGACAAAATTTTAATTAATCACTTAATTTTAAAAAGTATATTTTCAGTTCTTTAGTCCTTCTAAAATCACTAGTATTAAATGATATTTTTTGTAACAATCATAATTTTTATAAAAATTAAATTTAATATGTTAGGAGTTGAAAATATTTTATTAACATCCAAAATCTTAATGTCATTGTTTTTTGATGATGGTTTTAGGGTTAAAAGACTAAAAACATCTTTTTTTTTTAAAGTCAAGAAACCAAAATAAAATCTTATATAAAGTTAAATTATTAAAAGTATACTTTAGCCAGTTAATTAAGGAAAAAATGAAAACTTCATCATACACGTCTTTCACCCAGATCATGCCTTAATATAAAGCAAAATGTACTTTTAATCTTTTAATTTTATTAAAAAATATATTTTGGTTCTTTGATTTTGTAAAATGTCTTTTCAGTTTTCGATCCTAATGCAGTTCACAAAAGATGTTGATATTACAATTTTAAATTTTCACAACGTTCCAAAATATCGATATATTAATATTAATAATAATGATTAACACAAAAAATCATTATCTGATAAGATATTAAGGTTAAAAAAACTAAAAAAATACTTAATAAAATTATGGGTATAGTAGTATTCAGCACCCTGATTTTTTTTTTCCTATGATGTATCCAACACTCTAAAATTAGATGATATGCATTTTTGCTTTCATATAATTTGACGGGTCTGTCTCTGTTGCCCATCCCTTCTTGGCAATACAGATAATATTTGAAGGCTTTGGATGATTTCTTCACCTTAATTCTTGACTATCCCTTCTTGGCAGGAAAGATAAATATTTCAAGGCTTGGGATAATTTCTTCACCTTAATCCTTAGTTGTGCATACATGTTTCTACCTTTTTCAGCTGGTTTTTTCCCCTTTTTAATTTACCACCTTCCTTTTATAAGAGAACTTTCATATTACTGAACTACAAAGTCTGACAACATGCTTCTTACTTTTGTCCTTGAAGCCCAAAATAACTTTTTGACACCAGAACCCATCCAATTGCTTTTCAACCTTACTAGTTTTCCCAGCTTTTACTTGGTCGTGTAAGTGAACTCCGCAAAACCAAGTCATCGATTTTGAATGTCCGACACTTCCTCCGATCTTAAATATAAAAACCAACTGAAAAGTTTGTTCTAATTATAAATATAAAACCGCTGGTAATATATATATATATATATATATATATAGATATAAACCCAGTTTCCACCATCACGCACACTTCGTTTTCTCCGATCTATTTTCTATCTATAATATGAATGATCAAAATGGTACAGCACATATTTTTATTGATATTTAAACTAATTTTTCCTACCGTGTGTAAAAATAGTTCTCCCTTACCTTTAAGACCGAAGGAATTACAATTTTTGGCACATCCTCTCACAAACATCAATTCACAATAATTTAGAAAAAGAAAAGTTGAAGAAAGACCAACTACTTATGACACAATTGTAAGATAATGTAGAAAGGATGTACCAAAAGTTGTATTAAACATTCAGCATCCGGTGCCTGAATTGCAAGTTTTCCAGGTGTCGGAACTGGTAAACTCCATTGCAAATTGCAAAACAGAAGAACACTTCACAATTCTCCACTTTCCGTCTAAATGATTAATATAGGTGGATCACACAATTCTCAGCCAAGCACTATTTTCAGAAGGGCCACATATACATATTCCAACTTAGCCTTTCAGCGTCAGAAAAACTACAATTTCACTACAGAAACAAAAGCAAACAATTAAACAAAGCTTTCGCGTAACATTGGGTGAAGGTCACAAGTCTTGAAAATGCTCAGCAGTGTTACATACTACGCCCCTTCAGCTAGGGTCCTCTTTGAAGTACTGATGTACAGAACTGCATCACAAACCAAACGAGAAAATCTAGTTAGTGGTGCAATCACATATTGATTATGAAGGAAGGATACCGCCTTTTAGACACTACCATTGTTCCCTCTAATGAATGCATCACCATATTTGTTCTTCAGTTGCCCATTGACATACTCTTCTGTTTGTTCCATGGCAATATTCATATAGCCATCTAGACAAGCTAGAATACCTGCGAACATAATCAAATAGCGTCAAGCCACTACTTAACAATTGCAAAGCAGTTCAACATAAAAACACACGTGCCATGCCAATGTTCTTTTTTGGACCAACACTAAACAAGAAATCCACCTAGCACAAAGATATACCTAAATACTAGAACGTCTTGCTTAGCAATACTCACACTTCTCACTGGCATAAGAACCGAACCCCACTTTCTGTGAGGGAAAGCCACTCCTTGACTATTTTGAAGCGTAACATAACAAAACAGTGTAGATAAATAAAGCAAGCATCAGCAATAAAGCCACAAGCAAAGTCAGCATTGCAAAGCCATCAAGAACCTGAATGAACAATTCATTACAGTAGCAATAAACTGATCTCTCTTTTTCCTTACTTCACAACCCAATTCCCTTTGGTCAGATACCATGGTCATATTTTGTACAAAGTGAATATTATAAAGCCATAAACCAGCATCTATTTTTCAACTATTTCCTTCCTTTGGAGATTACGGCCTCTGCAAGCTAATAGATAGACATGTTTCTAGCTACAGTGAAAATTCTACTTGCACAGAAAAGGGGATGATTTTGATACTACTCTTTACAACTTCCATTACACACTTTGAAAAATTCACTATACTTTACAAAAGCTTCAACCATGCGATTTTGATACTTCGACATATTCATGCTCAAAACTTCATTTGATGATTTATATTATTTTTTCTCTTATTCTTTGATGTGGCCCTAGTAAGTGCTAGGAGAATTTACTATTTCATCATTGTTCACATCAAAGTAATGCAACATTGTTTTATTATTAGATATTAAAAGATTAATGTTGTCCGTAAAATCAAAGTCAACACTCTCGGGTGGGGTTCTTCTTTGCCTCATCTCCAATGCAATTTTTATATCCACATCTGTTGTCCTATCTTGTACTTATACTATTAGCATCTCATAATAAGATATTGGCTCTTTCTTTCTGGTAAAGCTTCAGGCTTTATCTTAGCAAAAGAATGTAAAATTGAAGAAATAAACATAGTATTGTCAGTGTATAAACCTTGACTACGTGGTTATCTCAATAAATTTGAATTTAAACTTCATCCAAACTTAAACAAGTCATTCTTAAACAAATAATAACAAGTATACTTGTTTTTCAGTTCAGTATACTTGGGGCCAATTATGAACTTAGTGCACTTTATGAATTCACCTGAGTCGGACATGGATAACAAGTGTTCTTGACAAATAAATTGAAAAAACAGAAGTCATAGATCACATGAAAAGTTACGAGAAAATACACTCCTTGTTATAATTTGTTCAAGAATAGTTTAAGTAGGTTTGGATGGAATACAAATACAAATTTACAAACTACTGAACCAAAAGTACAGGATAAATTGATTAAAATAATATAGCAGTCAAGGATTAGATGCACTGTCAATACTCAATAACAAAACTATTTATCTCTTCCATTGACTTAATATGAATTTCACATTCTTTAGTAGCAAATTCTAAAGCTACTATTTGGAGGAACAAGCTAATACTTTATTACTAAAAAATGCTAAAACTATACAGACAAGATCATGCAACAATTGAGCATACAAAAACAACATCAAATATGCTACTAAAACGAGATGAACCCTATAGAAGACATTAACCACTTAATACCCAACAATGAAGCAACTTTACATAATTTTGATGTAAACAGTGATGAAAAGGTAAAAAATTCTACATAAGCAAGATCTCAAGCTGTTTCTCAGAGTGAGCCTGCATCAAAGAACTAGGGAAACAAAACTTAAAAGAAAATAGAGTAAGCAACAAGCAAAGGCTAGGCATGGAGATGTTTGCTGAGTCACTAGGTGATATGGCTGAAGTTCTTATAAAGTAAATTAAGATTTAACATATAGTTAAAAAAACTGCGCAGTATGGAAATGTTTAAAGTCAACAAACTTGTCTTATGTAGGGAAATACAGTTTGAGCCATTCAAGATATATTCGTTAGTGGCACCTTCCACCTTTGACTAAAGTCAAACAAACCACATCTTGCAACAAAGCAGAAAACAATCTCAAAAAAATCAAGCGTAGATACATACAAAAAGAAAAAGATGCTCTCAAATATATCATATAGTGAGAGTGGGAAGATAAGACAAGGTGATATGTACTATGTGCTCACATGATGAGAGGTGATTTTCAACATAAAAAGTCACTAAACCTAAGTGTATCATTTTCACATTTTCCAAAATTATAATCAATCACATTTCAGAAAACTATGCTTTTCTGTTTTATCATGAAATAAATGATATAGTAAAATATTAGCTACAACAGTTTAATATATATCATTCAGAGACAACTCCTAAGGGGCATACTTAGAAGCAGCTCGGCCAGAATTACCTCGATAATCGACGCCAGAATTCAACTTTACAACGACAGGACGCCCACGAATGGATTTCAGGAAATCTGCAGGGGTCTTGGTAGTGGTTGATCCTTTCTCAATTCCGCTCATTTTATCTCAACCCCAAATACTTTCTATCTTTGAAAAATAAGACAACAAAAAGCGGAAAAAATACTGATAAGACTCTTCCGTATCTATAATTGACAGAGCATCAGAGTTCTGTGCCAAAAACATGACATCATCGCAAAACAATCAATAATCAATAGTCTCAATACCTCCTTAAGCAATTTCTTAATGTCACCGGAGAGCTGAACACTGCAAGGGCCGGAGAAGCGGGCGACGCCGAGAGAAGGAGAAGATAGCCTGAGAAGGTCAGAAGCCGCGCGGTGCGGTTTTGAACGAAAAGCCCTAACTGTTCCCTCTGGGCAAATTTTTCCTTTTAATTTTATTTGGACAATTTAATCCCCGACCCCAGGGACCTCTATTTTAGTCCCTTGAGGTTTCCTTCTTCTTTTTTTTTTTTTTTGATATTGAACATTATATGTAACCTAATTAGGGGTATTTGACAATCCTCAAAATCACTTTTTAAAAGTTTTTTTTTTTTAACAAAATGAGACAAACTCCTCTGCATAATTACTTTGTAAACTATAAAAGTACTTTTGAAACCATAGTTTGGTTTGCATCCAAACACTCTCTTAGTTTTTTAGTTCATAGTTTTGAGGAAGAGCATGATGCATGCATCATCATTTGTCTCTTTAATTTAAAATCTTTATGGAATTTAAAATACTACCGTCGAATCCTATGCATCATCATTTGTCTCTTTAATTTAAAATCTTTATGGAATTTAAAATACTACCGTCGAATCCTTAATATAAAAATTAATTTGACATTTAATTTGGTCTTAAATATAAGACTTCAATTCACGTTATGTCTCATATTTATCTATTTTCTTTTCAAATAGTTCTTATAGTTGCATATGTTATTAAATATTTCATCAAATAATAGTTTTAATTAATACATATGATTAGCAAGGGTATTTTAGCGAATACAACACCTATTTATTACAAACAACTAATTTAATTAATTTTTTTAATCTATTCAAATTAATCAACTAGCTCTTATATTAATAACGGAAGAAAGGTGCTATGTGTTTGTGTGTGTGTGTGTATATCGGTTTCTCCAAGTGAAGAGAAGTTCATTCCCTTCAGCACAACTTTCCATTAAAATCTCATTAACTTTTCATTCCTGGTTTGGTTATATGTACATATCTTTCAAAATAATCTAGCAAGTCATTAATTTTTGTTGTTGTTTTCATTCTTTTTCTTAGTAAATTTTCAATTTTGTTTTGTTTGCATGGCTTTAAAAAAAATAAAATAATATAAAAATAATGCATATATTTAATACCAGAATCTTGCGTAATATGGATGATTTATTTTCTTACCATTTTATTTCACATGTTGTTATCTTTTTCTTCCGTATCAGTTGGCACAATTCAGGGGTGAACTTTGAATTCAGCCTTACAAAACAAAATGGTAATAACGATGATCAGTATAAATTAATTACAAAAATTTTTAATTTCATGAAATAAAATTTCAAGTTTCCATATATGATGCGATCACATTCTAATTACAAGGCTGAAATAAAATCCCAACTTGCGATGGCATTTGCATTTATATCTTATGTGAATCTCATATCAATCATTTAGATTTAATTTAGATGGTTTATAATTTATTTTTGTTCAAATAGTAATTCAATTTAATTTTTATCTCAGATGAAGCAACATGTAAAGCAATAATTATTTCACTATTATTTCATATAAAATAATAATTTATATAATAACTTTTGTAAAAAATTAAATGAAAAACTAGTTAATAAATCCTTATAGTTTGCCTCAATTTTATATTAGCTCCCCTGTAATTTATTTTATTTGAATTGGACTCTGTTGTGTGGTTTGATAATTTTAATTTATAGCGTTTATGAAATTTCATTTATTAAAGGAACATGCATGCATTAAATCGGTCCACAATCATTATTTAAATTAAAATTAATAATTTTTACATCCAGTGATAAATGCCTATCCAATGCAAACAAAACAAACAACAAGGACTCATTCAAAATTGAAGTAAATTATAAGTAGTTACGATTAATTTTTTTTTTCAGAATTAAATTATTTAAATCAAATCTAGAGGGTGCACCAAGACATATCCCATATAGCATACATTACATTTATAAACCCTAAATTCCAAAAGGTGAGCGCCGAATCCTCTTTTATTTCAATACACACACACACACATATATAGTCAGTCCCTTCTCTATTCTTGATAGTCTCCTTATAAGCCTTTTTATTGCATTAGAGAGAAGAAGTGGGGGAGAGAGATTTTGAGAGAGAAGAAATGAAAATTTTGAAGATGAAAGAGATGGCATGGATAATAGTGACAGTGACGATGATGATAATAAAAATGGGCAGAGCTGAAATTCACTATGTTGGAGGAGGCAAATATAATTGGGCACCCAATGTTAATTTCTCAGAATGGTCAACTCATGAGCACTTTTATGTTGGCGATTGGCTATGTAAGTCTTTCTTATATAATTCTTAGTTTGTGCTTGTTTGTTTGTTTTTGTCTTTTGTTACTGTAATACATCCAACTCCGCATGTGTTTTATAATCAGTTTCAAACTAGATAAAGACAGAAGATTGCGCTAGACTCTGGACAATCAATGTAAAATTGTGTTAAATTCTTATAATATGGATCACAATGCTATCATATGTAGTTAATCTTGCGTATTGCATTTATTGTTGCTATAATACTTATCCACTCCTAAATATAAGACCCTTATACTAGTGTGTATAAGGGTCTTATATTTAGAACCGAAAGAGTACATCTAAATCTATGTTAATTTAGATGTTACTATTTGTTGCTTCTCATGGAACAGATTTGAGGAATTCATTTTTCATATGGACTATAATTTGATTCATAACCAACTTAATGGAATAAGACTTTTGTTCTTATGGTATAGCTTGATTTAAGACCACTAAATAGAGGGCAAAATTAATTAAGCATGAAACTAAAGGAAGATGTGGTGAGAGTAAATTTGTGGGTCAATTAATTTGTGACTGTTGGATCAAACAAACATATTAGATCACCCTAGATAGGAGAAAATCTTTGGAAGAAAATAAGGGACAAAAATTAGCATGAGGTAAAAGGAAAGTGTTGCTAGAAAAGACATTAATTTTGTGTTGATTGATGATTCATTGTTGGGTTAATTCACTTGTTGGTTGTTGCATCAAATCACCAAATCCTATGGCAAATGATTGGAATTCATAATTATATCTATATATATAACATTACATCTGGTTCTTAATATAAGATTTATTTTGTAGTGCAAAAATATAGTAAAAATTACAATATTCATAAGTTATAAACAGTAAATCTCACCTTATAATGTGTACAATACATGAGTTTATAGTTAAATTTTCTAAAATAAAATATGAAATTGTATCTTTTTTCCTGACAGGGGATATAATATGAATAGAAAAACCGTCTTTTTAAATTTATTTCTTTATAAATATCTCTTTTGGTGCAGTAACACTATCTTCTTTAATTCTCATACCACACACAGACACAAGGGACTTGTCAATTTCTCTGAGTTTCTACGAGATTCTCCCTCATGCTAAAAGAGAAAGAAAAAATCCAATATACACTAATTAGATTTATGGTTTTTCCAAAGACTTTGGATTTGACAAGAACATGTACAATGTGCTGGAGGTGAACAAGACAAGCTATGAGAACTGCATAGAGACAGATTTCATCAACAACATAACAAGAGGTGGGAGGGATGTCTTCCAACTCACAGAGCCCAGATTCTATTACTTCTTGAGTGGAAGAGGGTTCTGTTGGCAGGGAATGAAGGTTGCTATACAAGTTGTGAATGCTTCACAACCTTCTCCTTCACCACTTCCACAGAAGAGTGCTGCTTCTGCTTCTGGTTTAGGTTTTACTAATGGCAGAATTCAGGTGCTGCTTGTCTCAGCCTTGGTTTTGAGCTTCTTCATTCACTAGAAATGGCAGACCCACAAACCAGAACCAACCCATTCTGTATTGTTTATTTGTCTTGACCATTCATGTTGAAAGAGTCTTACTCTTAGTTTGGGATAGATTTTCATGTTATGTTTTTAGTTTGTTGCTCATTAATGTCTTTCTTCTACTACTTTTGATGTAATTCACATGGTTATTCTCATGTATGCTAACTAAAACTACCCTTAGGTTTGTTCCTATGGAGTGAGATTTCTTTTCAAGACTTATTTTTTATTATCTTATTAGGTAGTTCCCATATTATCAAAGCTATAATGAGATTACTATCAAGTAATTTTCCATTTTGACAAAAGTTTTTTTTCTTTGACTTTATACAAGATTTCATATTAGTTTCTTAATTTTTAGAAATATTTTTTAGTATTTTAATCCTGTTAATTACAAATGACGACTTTTTTTTTTTTAACCAATCACTATTATTTTTAAAATTTTAAACTTAATATATTAGCATGTCAATATTGAAAATTTTATCAGCATATTTTTGTTAACAAGACAAATAATGTTTGGATTAGAGGATTGGAAAGACACTTTATAAAATAAAAAAATCAAAATAAAATCTTGTAAGAAGTAAATGAATAAAAACACCCTTTTACCTTCCGCTTTTCATCTGTGAATACCACGCCTAATTTTTGCGCGTCATGCAAAATCCCAACTTATAACTCATGTCAAACATAATTAAAACGTAAGGTACTTCCGTCGATAGCTTTTCTTAAAGTTATTATTCATAATATCTTCAAAGAGACCTTATGATCATTGATGAATCATCTGAACCAACTGTCATGAATAGCAAACATAACTTTGTTTTTTTTTTTTTAAACCTTTTGATAGAAGTACCAATTCCATTTTTTTTTTTCCGGACCAGAGACTGAAGGGAAAATACTTCAGGTTTCAAGAATAGAATGTTTAGAGCTGGCTGAGCAAATCAACATTTTGTTTCAACTGTAACTTCAAAGATATCACCTGAGAAGGAAAACTTGCATGAGCCTAAAAAACTGTTTTTTTTTTTGTTTTAAAAAACCATATCCCAAAGTTATCAAATCCCGCTAGCTAGCTGAGATCAGTTACAGGGATCACACGGTGCTATGTACTTTATCAGCAATTAGATCTTTAAATAATGCCAATATATTTTTTATAAGAATAATCCCAACATCGTATATAAGGATTATATTAGACACAATGCAGTAATCAGTTACGTGCATGAATGTCATGATGCTGCTGATGTTAAAGTAGCAACCTAGTTAGAGTGTGCCCACGTTAGTAATTGTTATTGTCAAAACTTGAAGTTAGATATTAAGATAAAATTTCCACAAGTTTATGAATAAGAGAATTGAATAAGCCAGAAAATTTCTCAGATAAATGCCTCTTCGGAGCTCCCTGCTAATAAGCCTATTAAACATTAGCAGTACACATACACTAACAACGAAATGACGGAGATAGTTGACCTTTCAATTTTGTGTTTTTAAGAGTTTATCAAGGCAATCAAAAGTACAACCTCTAATGTTGGTAAGTTCATCAGTAGAACTCAAAAAAAAAGTCTCAAACCAGAATCTTTCTGCTCAAACCAAGGCATCTCTGGGAAACAAGTTAGACTAATGAATATTCACTGCTCCTTGCAATGACCATCTTCCATAGTCAAGGTTTGTAGAATAGCCACAGCCTCACCTTCAAGAACAAGAAATTCCCATTCTTGAAGCTACTCGTCTTAAATTTTGCCACTAATTAGAAGACAAAGCTCAGTCAGAAGCCAAAAGGGAGTCAATCAACAAATGCCAACAGGAGAATGCCAAGTGTAACTTACAGATATCGATTTTATTTACTCTTAGAGTAGTTGCTTGTACTTCACTGATAATCTGATCTCCATATAGACCGGGAACTTAAAATTCAAGCTTTGAGATGCATATACAGCTCCAGGCTACAACTATCCGTAGCAGTAGAAAATGTGGAGGAACAAAAAGAACAGGAAGAAAAGCTTCATCAGGAAAGTTTGCAAAAGAGAATCAGAGTGAGGGATCGTGTCATTAGGAGTAAAATAAGACCTAAACTTAGTGTTGTTGAATGGTGAGCACCAAAGTTCTTGTGCAGAGTTTAAATGAGGAATGCAGCTTTAATACTTTGTTCTGTTTTGAGCATTCCCTGGTCATTTTTGGATTGAGGAAGTTAGATCTAACGTATACTTTGAAGCAGTGTATCATGGTCAACATCATGGAAGTTACAGGCCCTCAAAAGGAGATTTCATTTAATCTAAATTTCAGTAAATACTGATTAATCTGTTAATGAAATTTTCATTCATTTTACTGAGATAATTGATAACTCACACATCCAATAGGCATTAACAAAATCAGATAGATGGCTAGTGAAGGACTTACAAAATGTGACGAGATGATATGAGGAAAGAGAGAAGCAACGAGCATCCCATGCACTAGTCGACCTTCAAATCCAACATTTCGGGCAGCTTC